CTTCCTAGAAGCTCTAATACTGCACTGTACATTTATATTCATCCTGGTATTATCTGGGATATGCTGAGAATTGTGAGAAGAGTTGGTAATAAACTGCTGAAAAATCTGTTCATTACAGCTCAGTAATTTGTTTTGAGACAGCCTGGAACACAGATCCAAGTCAGGATAAAGTTAGATGAGGCAGCATACATTATGCTACCTTGCACACTACAATCTGTTACAGATGAAAGTATTTTATGTAGGTCAGGCACTGCTTCCCTGGAGACAGACAAAAAGCCATAAGGAAATCAGAGCAGTGTTGGGCCTGATTCCAGTGATCAAGTCTACTCCAAAGTTTCAATTATGCAGAGATTTGCATGTCTCTGGTCTTGTCTATCGAAGTACTCTTCCCAATCAACTTCCGCAAGGCTAAGTATAGCAGACTGGACAGCATATATCTCAGGATGCAAAACTAGATAAAACTCCTCACACTCACAAGGAGACAATGGTTTGTCAGTTGAAAAAAGAAAAGAAAAATCAAAGTGACACTAATTTTCAGCTTATCACAACACTGAGTTGCAAAATCAGGTTTCAGGAACAGAGGCGGCTCCCTGGCCCTCACAGTGAGGAGAGTGGTGTTATTAAAAGAAGCAGTCTTGCATTTCTTTCTCCCTTTCCTTAAAACTGTGCTCTAATGTAACTAAGAGGGGACCTGCCCTTCAGTCTTGCTGCAATAACACTTCATCTCTGACAGGTGGGAGAAAAAGAATTTCAGGAACTCAGAAGTAAAAATGAGTATTCTTTGTTATATCTCACAGTCTCAGCCAAGGATTCTATAGTTAAAAAAAAAAAAAAAATCTTTTTTTTTGCTCTTGTGTAACAGTGTACTTTTATTCTGGCAACCAAAAAGCACAGAATACAAGCTTCCGCTAACATTTCAAAGCAGAATTCAGAGTTTAATTTTCTAACACACATCATACCATTTTTCATTACCACCTATCTATCTGAGAATTTCTCTTTCACCAAAAACCTGGAAGATTCTTAAACAGAACAGCACTGTGTTTTCAGAATGGTATTTAGCTGTGAAGAGATCCAGAAGGAAGTACACAAATCACACACAATATTGCGTATAGTAAACAGATGAAGAGTGCATGATGGAAGAAGAAAATACATGCACTTCTGCACTTTATTGATATTTTAATTCCCCTCCATAGGGAAGTCAGCATAAACGCATATGTATTCCAGTTTGCTACACAGTGATTTTCCTAATTTAAATAAACCAAGCTATCTAGGAAGTCTTTTCCCCTTATACCTATGAGAAACTATCCTCCTTACTGAGTCTAAGATCGTAGGTAAGCGGGGAGTTCTAGGTATCATCTCTGCAGAATTCTAACATTGTTACTTGGACGGAAGAATAATACCAAATTTTGTATTTCTATCCTTGTCCCAGATAAATTCTTTAAAAATATATAGGAGCTTTTGCTCTTTTTTCTTCTCCTTTCCCTCCTCAAATACAGCAATTTATGCTACTACAGAACTGTGGATCTCCTTTGCGTGCCATCATCCATACATTTTTGACTTCTTTCCCCCACAATAAGAAGCAAGCTGTATTTTAAATACAAGCCACCACTGTTGGTTGGTTATGTTCCTTACCCTGATTCCCAGCTCCACGTTCTCTCCCCCATATACTTCCATGCCTTCATCCAGTAAGCCAATCTCTTGGAAATATTCTCTATCTACTATGAAGCATCCAATCAATGCAGGACTTCTGGAAGAATAAAACAGCAGCAACCAAAATTAACACACAGAATGTGGACAACTTTATTATTCAGAAATAGGTTATAATTCCTGTGTCAAATGGTGCGTCAAGACACATTCTTAGGGAGGCGTTTCAAAACAGATTTATCTGGCTTTGTCTTCTAATGTTCTTGATTCTATGCTGAAATAAGAACCATTGAAGGAAAATAGACTCAAAATGATTGGACATACATATTCACCAGAACAAGTATAATTTCGATGCTAACAATAACAGACTCAGGAGCCCCAACTTTGTTTCTGAGGCACCAGCCGGTCTGAGGACCTGCTAAGTCCTCAGGTTTCTCATCTGTGATAATTAACAAGGATACCCAATGATGCACAGTTTTGTGTGTTTAGCCAGAAGCTAGGTATTACAGCTAAGAAAACTTGTGTCTGTAAGCTTATGTAAAAGAAAAGATTATTTCTTGAATCGGCACTTCCAGGTCAGGTTTTGCAATACAGAATCAAGAAACGTCCTTCACCCTTACTGTAACATTAGTCTATTGTCCCAAGCCAAATTTAAACAAGTCACATATCGTTACCAAATCAGTAAGCTCTATTTATGTCATGACCTGAATTAGCCAACTTCTGCTATGGAGAGCCAATCTTAAGAAGGTAAGAGTTCAGGCACAGAGAATACAATTTTACCTTTATGAGATGCAGTGGAGGATAATAAAGACTAATTTAGCCTTTTCAATTTTCTCCTACCTTATAATCCACAATAGCAAGAAATAAAAATGTCTTTTCTGATTATTATGCTGGTACCAGGAACTCTGGTAACAACAGGATATTAATTAGCAGTAGAGGGGAAATCATCCTGCATTTACTGGGAACATTCAAGCTACAATAAGAGTAGACATCTGCTTTCAAACAGATTATAGGATGTCTTAATCACAAATTGTACAATTCCACAGAAATCTGTACATTTATGCCTTTAACTTGAAGTGCTATAGTACCCACTTCGTAACAATGAACGACTGTTTCTGATGTATTTATTAATGAAGAAAATAGCAGTTAACGTCACTTCAAAAATTATGCTTCCTTTATGACAAAGTACTTTTGCTTTTGGTGTGGGTTTTTAAAGTATTTTTCAGAGTACCTGCTTCCCTTTGTTATAATTCTAAAAGCACATTGGAGGCATGGCAGAAGCTATCAATCAATACACGTGGCTTTTTTTTTGGTTTTAATTATCCAGCACACACATACAGTGTATTGTACTGAATAAAAGGTGCCCGGGAAAGGGCTAGGGAACAAACCTAAACATCCAGTATTCATAAAGGACACCCACTCCCCAGTCCTCACATAGAACAGAGTTTTGGGGTAAAACGGAAAAGTAGATTTGTTCTTTATTCTGAGTTTAAATACTCTTAACTTAAAAAGGCACCATAATTAATATAGGTTTGCCTCTCCAGAACTCCGTAGAATACTTCAAAGCATTTTCATAATGTTAACAGACTTCGTTAAGAGAGAGCCATTTCTGATGATGTGGAAATTCCCACCCCTTTTCACATTTGTCCATGGCAAACCTGCGATTTTTTATCTCCTGCTTTCCAATTTTGAGTCTTATTCTAAAGACCAGCATGTGGGTCAGTGCAGTTCAGGGTGTCTAAGCTGACAATTCCTGAACAAAGTTGTCTGCCTGAAAGGGCAGAACCACTGGATGAAACATACCCCTTACACTGACTGCATGGAAACTGGTCAGTGGTGACGACCCCCTCACGCTGGCACTGCTATTTAAGGTTCTGCTTTGTAGCTGGTGAAAACAGTCTTCGTACTTTCTGCAGAGAGCTAGACTATAGGTACCAGTGACCTCCTTGGTATGAATGCAGAGCTAGAAGAAAGGCCTGGAATCTCAGCAGAGTTGCTGAGAGGATTCAGCAGCTGGAGATAAGTGTATTGTTCTGTACCAGCCTAACAATACTCTAGACAGGATAAGCAAGCACAGAGCTAGATTGAAATCAAAGCAAGGATCTAATACAGTCTTTGCTTACACACTGCCAGTGGACCAGCATTAACTCCTAAGGCATAAGACAGCTGTAAAGCTATGCGACGGTATTATAAAGAATACAGCTGTCAGATGAGCTCTGTTCATATAATGCATTTGTAAAGAAAATTCTGTTTCTGGCCCATTACCACTAAATTAGCATACAAGCCATTTGGAGAAAGCAGTGCTGCTGAGCATTCAAGTCTACTATTTCACATCAGCTATGTGTTTTGCCCCATGCTAATAACAAGGAAACCTATCTACTAAAAAAAGAGTTTTCTTGATGACTGTGTAGGGGTCAAGGACAAAAGCTGAAGAGGACATCTCAAGGGCATTTAACTAATTTCACATCACAGGCAGTAAAACCTATCACATAGCTGAGACCACTCACCATCTGTCGCATCTAAATGAGCATCGCCAGTGACACACTAATCTAGGTCACAGTTGCATGTTACCTTATTGGAGCAGTTGTGTTCTCCAGTTTCCACCATGACTTAGGAGGGTTCAGATATCGGCACCACAGCTCCCAGTCAAACCCCTGCGCAGAGAGGGGATACTCCTCTATTTCAAAATTATCATACTTAATGTTATCAAATGATGGCGAAATTACTCTTTTTCTGTTTTCTTTTATCCTAGCAAGCACTGGTTCAGCCCTAAAAAAAAAGAAAAAAAATGTTATGACCACGTCAGTAGAAGCATAGCACTGATGGAAATAGCAGCTTACGCTGTGTATTTCAGAAAGGGCTAAGTCTATATGTTCCCCATTCAGAGCTCCGTTTGCTTTGAGATGGAGTTTTGATAGAGCTGGATGTGCCCCAAAATAACACACTGCAATATTTTATCTAGGATGGCCTTTTATTAACCTTGATGTTAGCTGGTGAATGGAAGAAATGATATCTGCATATCATAGAGCATTTACAACCTTGCTACCCAATAACAGTAACTTCAGGCTCTCAATATTATCAAGGACTTCAAGATCAGAGCTAATAATAGATCTATCCTAGGGACAGAAGCTCCTGCCTTTTTGCCATCATTTTTACGCAAGAAGAAACAGGGATATTCGATCCAGACTGAACAAATTAAAACACATGGTTTTAGTTACGCACTGCTTTTCCACAGAGCAGCAACCTCAGTGCCAAAATACACTTCTTGGTTTACATTGTAGGACATAAAAGAAACATAGTATTTTTAATTAAAAGAAGTTAAATTTTCCCCTATGGGCAAAGGGTTACATTATCGGAGGAGGTTTTCAACATGCGGTTTTCCAATATAGTTTAAATACATTAGACCAGCAGATAACTCACACTATAAAAATGGACCTAGATTATGCTACACAGCACAAATACGTTTTTCATGCTCATGTCCATAATTGTGTCTGAATCATCATTAAAAAGACCAGAATGCTAATTCACCCTCAACATGCAAGAGAAACGCCATTCAGTAATTTATAAGCACTGCTTGGAAAAGGTCCTTGGTCAGAGACATTCAAGGATACACATACCATCCCACATTAAATTCCACATGGGCATCAAACAGAGCGACTACTGGTGCTGTGGCTACTCTCCATCCACTAACTCGAGATCGAATCAGCCCCTCTTGTTTGCTGTGTCGAACCACCTTGATGAAACCAGGCTTACGGGCATTCACTTCATCAACATACTTGTTCAGTTTCTCCTTGAGTTCTTCTGTGGAAAGGAAAGAATTAGATGTTAACAAGAAGTATCAGCTCGACAAGATGTAAAAACCTGTCCTTTCAGCAAAACAGGAACAAAGCATGGAAATACTTCCTTTTGTTTTATCTACTAAGGATTCTCAAATATTCAAATCTAAAAGGAGGCAAATAAAAAGGACAAGGACCATAAATTATTTAGTAATAACAAACTCCAAGTGTAACTATTTTTGCCTACGTGACTGACATGAGAATCCTGCCGCTGTTTAACATGCCACAAAGTAAAGCACTCAATCATAAAGTATCATAGCTACATAAGTGTATATTATGTTACTGTAGCAACAAACAAGATAACTATCTTATATTTCCAGAAAAATATGCCTAAGTATTGTCCATGAACTTTCTTTACCAATCTTTCAAGAAAAAGAGTAAGAATAAAATGAATTATTTATCCCTTTTCCATTTTTCTTCCTAAACTTTGACAGCTCTTTTCTATCTCTACTAAAAAGTTCTTTTCTCAGGAGAACAAAGACTAGTAAAAGTACTGGAGGAGAATAATTCCTAATTAAAATATAACTTCTTAATCAACAGCTATCATATCTCTGGTTTAAAGACCATTAAAAGAAAATCCAATAGGTAGAGCTGAAATGTGCTGTTCACTACTACTACTAATTGAAAACACTGTTCATGATTATTCCTATGCTCTATTTATGTTATGGTACCACTCAGAATTCCCTTGGTGTTAGTAAGGTCCCTTTTTTCCTAATCTCTCCACAAATCCAGAAATGTCTTTGCTGTGATGCAGAATAATGCCCCTGTGGTTACCACACTAAACTGGCTATCACCAAATCTGCATTAAAAGCTCAATGCTCTCTAGCCCTTTCTGTGAAACCTTGAGCAAGCCACTTAACTTCTCCATAATCAATTATCCTCCTTTTCAGTCTATTTAGACTTTAAACTCTAGTACCTAGAGCCCTGGGGCACTGAGCTGGGGGGAAGTCGCATCAGACAAGGGATGGCACCAGAGCCCAGCGGAGGAAGGAGCAGCACCCAGTAGTCAGCAGTATGGGTGGGAGTACAACTTCTGCCATGTTGGCTGGCCCAAATTGCTTCCCAATAAAATACAACAGGATTTTTCTTTTAAAGCTAACCAATGAGACTTTCCCCACTGTTGTTTTGCTGGCATGAGCAGTGCAATCTGCTCCTAGCTACGCATCAGGGGGACATTTCTGCATTGAGCCAGGTAGCTTCTCAACATGGTAAGCCAACCAGTCTGGGAACTGGTCACCTCAAACGGATCTGGACAACACACACACTAGAATGGTTAGTGCAACCGAAAATTAAAAGCAAGCACACTTTATTAGCTCCTCGGAAAGGAGGTGGATGTGTCCTCCCTCAGGCTGACAAAGCAGAACAGAGCTGTTTCTCAAGGGGTCCTCTAACCTAAAGTCTTAAATCCATATGACCTTAGGGGACCTGCTTCTCTGAGGATATGGAGGAACGGACAAGATGGTCAAGTACAGACTCCTTAAATTCACCCCTCTTTGTAAAGACTCTCAAATAGCCACCAGGCATGATACTCTTGCAGCTGGTTCCACTGATACTACAGGACTGTGCATGCCACATGCCTTTGCATAAATTAACTCCCTGCATGGAAGCAAGAGAATACCAAAAGAAAGTGCTGATGCTTACAGTTTTACAAGAAGTATAAAGAAATAATCTGATGACCATGTACATCACAGTCCTTAAACTGCAGCTATAATTTAAAAATGGAATCTATATATTCCTAGAATTTCCGATATTATATTACCAAAATCCATTCAAATTATTTATCTATGGCTGTATCACCTCGAATTAACAATATGAGACATTAACACACATACCACAGAGCACTATTCTACTTCTTATTATATTTGCTGCATGTTGATCAATACACTTTTTTCCCCTTATAAAGTCAAAAAATCATATTCAGGTTTTCTATCATGCTTGTGCAAAGCCATATATTCTTATTGTTCATCCTCTAACACAGATTGGTAGCAAGCACAAAACTATCAAACCAACCTCTAGCTAACAGCACTTCAAATTCAGAAGATGACATTTATGTTACTGAAATTGTGCCCATCTAAAAATAGAGCAAAACAGTTCTCTATTCCCAAAATTTAACATTGTGGAGGATGAATATCAAAACATGAAGATCAAAGCTTTGTTCTCAGTGTAAGTGGCTGTTCATAGCTTTGCAATACCAGGAAGCTTTATTTGCCACAACAATGCAGCATCACCATTGAGTATAAAATATATAAAAGGAAAGCAGGCTCTAATCAAAGAATTGAAAATCAGTACCCCTGATAGAGTCACTCTTCTCTCAACCACCTTCATTTTTAGCAAGTGGGCTATTCTTACTCCTGTCATATACTTCTCCTAATGCAGAATGACTGTATAAGCCTGAGTAAACACAAAATCTTTTTCATAGCTAGGTGTAGTATGGAAATAGGTGGAAATGGAATAGAACCCAAATCTTGGCTTGCCACCAGCATGACTTGAGCTGCACATTACAGCTGTGACATTTGCTAGGCAGTACATTGTCGTGGTTTGAGGTAAAACAGAACCAATTTGGTTCAGTAACTTCACTTTTTAGCTAGGCCTCTTCTAACTACTGAAATTAGTATCACATTGTGTGGACACTCTTTGCTCTCAGAGTGATAAGACCTATGTCTGTAGTTGATGCCAAGGCATGGTAAGGAGAGAGGCTCCTGCTTATACTTCTACTTATTGCAGTAACACCCAAGGGCAGCTAACTTTGTTATTTGCCCCATTGGAGGGTCAGAAACAGAAAAGCACAGAGAGGTCCCATCTGCGGGGAGGAGTGGACAGGACAGGTGATCCAAAACTGACCACCAGGATATTTCATTCCATCTGCCTCATGCTCAGACTAAAAGCCAAGGGATCAAAGGGTCAGCCCTCTTTCTTCAATGGCCGGTGTCTGAGAAGGACTGTCATTTCGTCTGCCTTTGATCCTCATTCTGATCCTGAATCCAATTCCTGTCTGTCACTGAGTCCGGTCTGGGACTTCCCCAGTGCCAGCCAGTGACATGACTGTCATCCTGGGAGCTTGATACCGTTTTGTATATATTTCATTATTTCCATTTTATTTTATTATTAATATATTTCATTAGTAGCTTAGATCCTTTTAAACTCATAAGTCTCTTTCTCTCTCTTCTGCCTCTCGTGGGAGGGGCGGGGGGGGGAGAGTGCATCTGCCGTTTGCCCAGTGGCTGGTTTGCCCCAAACCATGACATACATAAATTCTAAATTTCTGGTTACACTGCAGCTTTTTGCAAATGAAGCGGCCTGAGAGAGTCTCAGGGGAACCTTGCAGGCTTACCCATGGTCAATGAGTATGGAGGAATTCTGGACTTCAGTATCAGCCTCAGGAAGTGGAGGAAGGGCTGCATCTTACTTAATCTTCAATACTGGCCCACAAGCAGCAACTTACTCCATAGCAAGTCCACAGGAGACAAAGCGGTATTTTGCAGTCAGACATTTTCTAGCCTTCGTTATTTAAAACAGATTACCCTCCCTTTGCAAAGGCAGAATGCTGAGCAGAGCATTTTGTGCACCCTTTGTCTTACAAAACCTATTGGGCAGACACTCCCAGAAGAAAAGATAAGTCTACTAAAAAATGCATCATTTTCACTCAGACACAGGACACAGTAGACATGTAAATGAAGCTAAAGAAGTCACTATTTTGGGAAAAACATTAAAGACGCCCTAGCAGGATATTTAAGTTTTTTTCATGCATTCCATGTCTTCCTGAGTTTTACATGAGAAATCTGAATTCAATTGTCTTTGACAGTTTTAGACCACCCTGCCCAACTGGACTGAATGACGGGACTCTCCCCCTAGAACTGATCATACACTTTACAACAGCCTGATGGTCTTCAGCAATATATTTTTAACCCATGCTCTGCTTTTGCCCACTTCAGATACGTTGCCTGAATAATAAACAGTCTTTTTCATTAATTATTGTGCTTCACTGCTTTATACCACCATAGGGAGAAGAAAGAGAATAAGCAAATGTGTCATCTTCAATACACTGTTGATTTGGCTTCTAATTATGGAAACAAACAGGCTTATAAAGATAGATGTGTTTGCCTTTCAGTGCAGAATCTCTCAAATAAGGACTCAATTTGATTAGGCTGAATGAGCATCTGCAATTGGAGAGAAACAGCAGCCATATATGGAATGGGAAAATGGTGCCGAAGTGGTGCTTGGAATTGCTGCACTCTACCACCTGTCTCTATATGGTACAGATGTCTCGAGAGCCCAGCACAACTCTCCTCATAAACGTAGAAAATATAATTAATGTGCCATAATTATGTTTAATATTAATATAATTAAGTTATAATACTTCTAAGAGGTTGGTTGGTTGTTTTTAACAAATCCACAAAGATTTTGTTTGTCAGGTTTCCCTATTCAGCACAACAAAGCAGTGCTAAAGAATTGATGCAAGTTTGCCTTCATAGGAAGGGGCAGAAGCAGGACGGGATGGAGGCAGGGATCATAAGGAGTCAGCCGTCCCACAGCTACAGAGACTGTATGTGAAGGGATCATTTAGTTCATGAAAATCCCTTCACAAGCCATCTTTCCCTTCAGGATATGGTCTGAGAGAATGGTGGCTTGAGAGACGCCCCGGCAGTGCAACTGCTCCCCTTGCAATATTGCAGCTTGCCTGGCTTGTATGCTTGAATTCCCTGAACTGGGAAGTTATCAGGCTAGATGCTCAACAGTGCAAGGTGCCTTAGCTCCATGGGACTCCAGTGTCCTACAGCAGCCGTGGATCTGTCCCCAGACTTTGAATTTTAAAGTTATTGATACAGTGTTGTCATAAATAATAAATTACTGCCTCACATTTATAGAGAAGTAGCTTAAAGAACAGTCAATTAAGCCTCACTTTCAATAACTTTCATGCTTTAATGTACTCCCATTCTGAGGACTTAAATGAGTCCTCACGTCTCT